TTTTCTCCCTCCTCCTTTCCATCATGGCCTACAAAAACTGTGTAAAGAGTACATGTTTTGTTTTATAATAATTGCCATAATTGGAATAAACTAATAAATAAAAAAAGGCTATAGTTCAAATCAAATATTGATGATATATACAATATTTTAGAATGGAGTGTCTAAATAATGAACAGTTTAACTTATGATAATATATTGAAATATATGTTGATGAACCTTTGTGAGGTACGGTTGCTTTGTACTGAGAAGTAAGATGGCCTCCCCTCTCTTCTCCCCTACAGCTCAATGGATACCTTTTTTTTTATCATGCCAAGATAATGCATTTGCATAAAACCCTATTGCTTTACTGTGTAAAGTGTATTTGATTTTCTAGATAAGCGCTCTTTAAATAAAATGCATTATTATTATAGAACCTTTAATGCAAGATGCAGCCTAAGGTGCATTACAGATACAAAATAAAAAAGGAGGAACATAATTAAAAACAAGTTATAAACAAAGACAGAGTTATATCACAGAACCATAAAACAATACAACATAAACAGTTATACCTCTAAAATTACTCCAAATTAAAAGATAGGTCTTCAATTTACTTTGAAAAGCTCCAATGGAGTTTGCTGTTCTACGAGCCAATGGGAAAAACATAAAGCAGCCTCCCCAGTTTTCTTGTGTATTACTTTAGGTACTTCTAAAAGAAATGCATCGGAGGATCTGAGTGTCCTTGTTGGGTTATAAAAAGAAAGGCAGTCCCTGATGTGTGTAGGATCCGGGTTATGTAAAGCCTTGTAAATACACTGAACAAAAATATAAACGCAACACTTTTTTTTTGCTCCCATTTTTCATGAGATGAACTCAAAGATCTAAAACATTTTCTACATACAGTACACAAAATAACCATTTCTCTCAAGTATTGTTCACAAATCAGAAAAAATCTGTGATAGTGAGCACTTCTCCTTTGCCGAGATAATCCATCCCACCTCACAGGTGTGGCATATCAAGATGCTGATTAGACAGCATGATTATTGCACAGGTGTGCCTTAGGCTGGCCACAATAAAAGGCCACTCTGAAACGTGCAGTTTTGCTTTATTGGGGGGGTCCTAAGGTTAAACCCTAACCTTAACATGTCACCCATTGAGCATGTTTGGGATGCTCTGGATCGGCGTATACGACAGCTTGTTCCAGTTCCTGCCAATATCCAGCAACTTCGCACAGCCATTGAAGAGGATTGGACCAACATTCCACAGGCCACAATCAACAACCTGATCAACTCTNGCAAGTTAATTTATTTATTTCATTGTTTTTAACACACTTCTTCTGTGAAAAAATCATCTGTTAATCCCCTTGTATGAGTGTCTTGGCTGACCTGCTTCTCTGACTAAGCAGCTCAATAAATAAATATCTGCCTGCACAATCCAATCTGTTTCATTGAATGAATTGAATGAAAGAGAAAACGATATTTGAGAAACATTTTTAATGTTGCCATTGCATTAAAGAGCAAACACTCAGTGACTAAGACACACCCTTTTCTACCAAATACAATACAAGTGTGCTGAAGCAAAGCTTTTTGAAATATTGTTACATTTTACTAACATTTCTCCGCTTTAATACATGCGTTGATCCAGGAACGGTATTTTGAGATATCAACGTAGACGTTGGGTAAACCTCTGAAGGAACAGTTGTCGTTGACAGTCGCAATTCCAACAGCTTTCCCCTTGCACACGAGGGGTCCACCAGCATCACTCTGTGAGAAGGAAATATCTTTATTTGTTAAAAAGATTATGCATGATGTTATACCTTCTTTTGGAATAAGAAACAAATGTATCTTGAAACATACCTTACAAAATCCTCCCTGTTTTCCACCTGTACAGATAGCATTGGCACGAAGTCCAGGAATCTGATCATTGCAAGCCTTTGGGCTGATGACAGTCACGTCCACCACACGGAGCTGATCGACAGATCTATTGTCATTGTTATCCACTGGACCCCATCCAGCTACTTGGCACTTTTCATTTTCTTTTACATCCGTTTCAGGGTCTTGAAGTTGAATTTCTTTTGGTAGCTTTTCTGGTTTTTGGGAATTTATCTTGAGATGAAAAAAATAAAAAGCAGTTTTTCAAAACACAGTCTTACTCTACATCCTATGTCAGGTACAAATTGGTTTTGGTGGAGCACATGAGTCACTTCAATAAAGGTTATTATGAGCAGGATTACAGTAAATCAACAGTTATTTGGTTGTGCTGTGTAAATATTATAAGCAGGAATATTTAATACTATTTGCTTCCCCCGGTTTATATTTACATTTACCCTCACTGAAATTCAACTCAGTTGTTTAATTTTCTTCAAACCAAGGGACTACTGGGCTGAATAAACTTACTTTAATGAGCATGATGTCAGTCCCAATTCCAGATGAGGGTTTGCATGTGGATCTAATGTGTTCTTTTATTTTAAAGCCAGGTTTGCTGAGATCGTGGGTGCCGAGAATAACCATTACTTTTCCGTCTTCATCACTGAAAAAGACATCAGTGAGAGGTTATTGTTGTATTTTGTAAAGTTTTGACAACACAGAACAAATGAAACATGTTTTTTACATCAAACAACAAAACATTAGCTAGAAAAGGAGGAGTAACTTACAATTCACACCCCCCATGGGTGACAACAAAATGTTTGCTGACAAGGAATCCTCCACATATGTGTTTACCGTCTTCCTGCACCGATACCATATACTTCATCAACTTATCGTCGGCAGTTGTCCCATTTATGATTTTACTTCCAAGTACTGTAATCATATGAATAAAATAACAAAGAGTTAAAACTGGTTATTATTTCATTTTCAGGATGAAGAAAAGTCATCAGAACAATTTACCGTTTTGATCTTGGCATGCCAGAAGAAAAAGAAGCAGAAACTTGGAGAGCCCACGCATCGTGGCGACAGGATGATCAGCCCGCTGTCAAGTGGAACCTTTTTACTGCAGAGTTCCAACTTCACTGATTGCCATCTATTTATCTTCACTTCCAACCACATCCTGCGGGAGATGCTATTTTGCAACATTGCAAAGAACATACATCATGTAAATACTATGTGTTAGGACATACATTTATAAATTCCTCCTCTTCCTCCATGTCGCTCCCCATCCATTTTCACAAAGATCTTTTATAAACCTATTACTTGCATCATTTCCTGTGTCAGTGTGGCGATGCAGTTGTTTTGACATGTGTATCATTTCAAATGTATTTCTTAATTTGTTCAGCTTTATTTCTATTGATATTGGCACAAAATAAATACTTTAACATGGAGATGGAAGGGGTTATTTACATACAAGTTGTTTTATGAGTTTTCTGGAGAGGGCCTAGGTGCCTTGTACCGTCAAGCTCGACAAAATGCGGCATTTTGGGCCGAAAATACCGTTTTCCGAGTAGTTATTCGAGAAATCTTATGGGCTCATGTAGTGGAGCACTACGCGAGAAAGGGGGAGAGAGTGTCCAGCCCTCCTTACTTGGCGCAGGTAGGACGGAGACAGCGACACGCGCGCGAACAGACGAATCACCGCGCGTGCCGACAGAACGCGGTAACGAAGTCGCGGGACAAACACGTAATATCTCTTCGCGAGCTAGCCCGGTCGGAGAACGTGTTGCCGAACAGTTGTGACCGACCACTTCGCACAGTGTCCGTATACAGAAGGAGTACCCACCTCGGGGGCTCTTGTAGGTTTCGCGAGAGGTGGCTCCTTACAGGAGAGTCCGAAACGTTGCCTCCTTACCAGTCACCTTTCTGTAAACGTGACGACGTAGAACCAGAAAGGGGGACAAGTAACATAAGTTAACATTAAATTCCCTACCGAGAAGGGTACCAGGAGAGACGTGTGGGCCATTGCCTCACAGTAACAGTCTCACTCACTGCAGTCCCAATAGTCGACACGCGGAGAGGGAGGACGGAGAGCGTGGCCTCTCGCCGGGAGCAATAGGGGAGGAATATCCTCCCTCCAAGGAAAAGGAGACTGTGTGAAACCTTGCCTCACGGACCAGTCTCACTCACTGCAGTCCTTCGGTCGACCCGCGAGAGGATGGAACAGACTGTGCGTTCCTCTCGACGCAAGGGGAAGATTACCTAGCGACCCGTTCCACCCTCGGAAGCAGAGATGAAAGAGTGTCGCCGACCCATACATACAAGAGCGGAAGGTAGGGCAGCCTTCTATCCGTACAAAACGATACAAGGTCCCTGCCACTACGCGGTAATGCGTACCGTGTTGTCCGTACCCACAATAACTCGGTCCCACAGACACCGAAGATCACGGCCCGCCTGGGTCAACCCGCGCTGATGTAGTTACGGAAGCAGGAATTGGGTATCGCTATTCGGAATCTCCCGCTTCGGTATATGCTTTAATCTTGACTCCAATGGATTGACAATTTGAGGTCGAAGATACTCATTTACCCCGTCGGGAGATTCTCGCCGACCCGCGGTGACCGAGATGCTTATCGACTTCTTTTTCAATAAAACATACCCTGGTCTAACGGCCCGGGGAAGGATAAATAAAGCGCCTTCCTCCCGGGCTCCCACCCCGGGTGGAACGCCCACCCGCACCTGATGTTCACAAAGTCACGACGCGACCCCGCGTCCCCCTAATGGGTTATCGCTATCGGAATCTCCCCGACGCGCGTAAATGAGTATCTTCGACCCCAAATGTTCATCCATTGGAGTCAAGGGACACGACCTGTCGTAGACGTGACCAAATGCCACCAGAAAGGCTCAACCTAAAATTTTACGAAAAATTAAATAAATGTTCCGAAAGGTATTGGGCCGGGATGTGTGTAGTCCCTTGACGGAAAGAAAACTGTTGTGTTGTTCGTCCTGTGAGTCTAGGAGGCTACGTAAATAAAATCTTCATTGAATTTCATTAGTGTTTCTGTAGACCCCTCCGACGAAATACAAAAAGGGTAACCTTAAGAATCTTAATCGTTTGAGGTAACCTCAAGAAAAAAAATTTTCATTTAACTTCTGGAAAGAAAATTAAACCTCAGTAAAATCTCCATATTTGACAAACAAAATTAACAAAATACCAAGACACTATATCGAGAAAAAGACGAAAAATATTGAACAAAAATTAATACAAGGAGGAAGAAATAAAACATTGAAATTTCGTGGATCCGTTGTAGACGTAATTTCCAAAGATATTATTACTATTATTATTATTATACGTAAGATAAATTTCTCGCGAATAGATCTTTGGTTTCTGTGTGACAACGTTCATTGTTTATTTATTTTATTAATTTGTCGTGTGAATTTTGTTTATAAATGTCTAAATTTTCGTCAAGGACTTCTCCAGCGATATTATCTTATTTCACCTAATAGTAATTAATACTTTTATTTATCTTTTTTGCGAAAAACGGTAATACACCTTCATGTCATATAGTTAATTCATATTGCACAACCACTTCCAAAGTTATCTAATTATGTTTGTATGATAAATTCCAGATTACTACGAGTCAATGTTTTCACGACCAATCCTTATCCACCACCAAAAGTTATTCTTATCCGATAAAATGTCTCCTCTCCCCTTTTACGTGTTCCCGAATTATCAAGGAAGTTATAAAGTGACGTACAGTTTTAACCCAATTGTCAGTATTCAAGACAACACATGCTACTTTAACACCGAAATTTAACAGTGTTTGAACCTTTGTTGTTCCATGTTCCGAGTTTACGTCATTTTCATACGTTTTCATGAAATAAGGGTTTTTATCCTACATGTTTATTCCTAAGCTGTTAGAACTGCTCCACTTTTTCCAAATTTTTTCCGTTTTTTCTTTTAGCAGATGTTTCACTCCTTGTTTTGCATATTTTATAAAGCTCTCGTAATTTAATCCGAACTCTGTTGTTATTGATCAGCTGACCATGCGAACCATGCGACTGATGCCGTACCTCTATCCTGTTCTGCTGACTGTTGTCCTGTTCCCCTGTTGACCCCTTATATTTGTTCTCCATGATCCGTGTCCACCTTTGTTTAGTCCCGCGCGACCACGACTACTCTTCGCCCTCTGTGTGTTTCCTATCCCTCAAGTTCATTGGACCTTTACTTTTGTATTGTCCACTCACAGGTTTTATTTTGTCCTTCACGCTTCTGTTCTGTTTTTTACTTGATTTGTGCTTTTTCTGATCTGAATTTGTAAAAACTGCGCCCTGTGTTGTTTTTACACCTGTCCCGTTGGTTACATTCCGAAATTTCCGATTTTCTTTTTGGGATCGCCCAGTTGTGAAAATAGGTGAAAGATGTATACGAACACCCTTCAGGACTAATGAACCTACGTCGGACGGTCAAAGTGATTGCCGTCGTTACCAACGTTCCTACGTCCAAAAGGAAAACGGGCAGGCTGACTCCCCCCGGGCAAGCCCACCCATTTCTGCAATTACGTACTTGGAAGGTGAATATTAAA